ACCGCTATATATTTTCCTCTCAGGACTGCCTTTGTTGTGTCCCACAGATTTTGAACCGTTGTGTTTTCATTATCATTTGTTTCCATGAATTTTTTCAACTCTTCTTTAATTTCCTGGTTGACCCATTCATTCTTTAGAAGGATGCTGTTTAGTCTCCATGTATTTGGGTTCTTTCCAAATTTCCTCTTGTGATTGAGTTCTAGCTTCAGAGCATTGTGGTCTGAAAATATGCAGGGAATGATTCCAATCTTTTTATAACGGTTGAGACCTGATTTAGGACCGAGAATATGATCTATTCTGGAGAATGTTCCATGTGCACTAGAGAAGAATGTGTATTCTGTTGCTTTGGGATGAAGTGTTCTGAATATATCTGTGATGTCCATCTGGTCCAGTGTGTCATTTAAGGCCTTGATTTCCTTGTTGATCTTTTGCTTGGATGATCTGTCCATTTCAGTGAGGGGAGTGTTAAAGTCCCCTACGATTATTGTATTATTGTCGATGTGTTTCTTTGATTTTGTTATTAATTGGTTCATATAGTTGGCTGCTCCCACGTTAGGGGCATAGATATTTAAAATTGTTAGATCTTCTTGTTGGACAGTTCCTTTGAGTATGATATAGTGTCCTTCCTCATCTCTTATTATAGTCTTTGGCTTAAAATCTAATTGATCTGATATAAGGATTGCCACTCCTGCTTTCTTCTGATGTCCATTAGCATGGTAAATTCTTTTCCACCCCCTCACTTTAAATCTGGAGGTGTCTTCGGGTTTAAGATGAGTTTCTTGTAGGCAACATATAGATGGGTTTTGTTTTTTTTTATCCATTCTGATACCCTGTGTCTTTTGATTGGGGCATTTAGCCCATTAACATTCAGGGTAAGTATTGAGAGATATGAATTTAGTGCCATTGTATTGCCTGTAAGGTGACTGGTATTGTATATTGTCTCTGTTTCTTTCTGATCTACTACTTTTAGGGTCTCTCTTTGCTTAGAGGACCCCTTTCAATATTTCCTGTAGAGCTGGTTTGGTATTTGCAAATTCTTTCAGTTTTTGTTTGTCCTGGAAGCTTTTAATCTCTCCTTCTATTTTCAATGATAGCCTAGCTGGATATAGTATTCTTGGCTGCATGTTTTTCTCGTTTAGTACTCTGAATATATCATGCCAGCTCTTTCTGGCCTGCCAGGTCTCTGTGGATAAGTCTGCTGCCAATCTAATATTTTTACCATTGTACGTTACAGACTTCTTTTCCCGGGCTGCTTTCAGGATCTTCTCTTTGTCACTAAGACTTGTAAATTTTACTATTAGGTGACGGGGTGTGGACCTATTCTTATTGATTTTGAGGGGGGTTCTCTGCACATCCTGGATTTTGATGCTTGTTCCCTTTGCCATATTGGGGAAATTCTCTCCAATAATTCTCTCCAATATACCTTCTGCTGCCCTCTCTGTTTCCTCTTTTTCTGGAATCCCAATTATTCTAATGTTGTTTCGTCTTATGGTGTCACTTATCTCTCGAATTCTCCCCTCGTGGTCCAGTAGCTGTTTGTCCCTCTTTTGCTCAGCTTCTTTATTCTCTGTCATTTGGTCTTCTATATCGCTAATTCTTTCTTCTGCCTCATTTATCCTAGCAGTGAGAGCCTCCATTTTTGATTGCACGTCATTAATAGCTTTTTTGATTTCAACTTGGTTAGATTTTAGTTCTTTTATTTCTCCAGAAAGGGCTTTTATCTCTCCGGAGAGGGTTTCTCTAATATCTTCCATGCCTTTTTCGAGCCCGGCTAGAAACTTGAGAATCGTCATTCTGAACTCTAGATCTGACATATTACCAATGTCTGTATTGATTAGGTCCCTAGCCTTTGGTACTGCCTCTTGTTCTTTTTTTTTGTGGTGAATTTTTCCGCCTTGTCATTTTGTCCAGATAAGAGTATATGAAGGAGCAAGTAAAATACTAAAAGGGTGGCAACAACCCCAGGAAAATATGCTTTAGCCAAATCAGAAGAGATCTCAAATCGTGAGGGGGTTAAAAGGGGATAAAAAGAGGTTCAGAAAGAAGATAAAAAAAAGAAAGAAACAATTAAAAAAAGAAAACCAATAAAGAAAAAATATAAAAAGGAAAAAAAGAATATATATATTAGATAAACTAGTTAAAAAACGTTAAAAAAGAAAAGGGTAAAAGTTAAAAAAATTTAGCAGAAGAAGAAAAATAAATTGAAAAAGAAAAAAAATTAAATTAACTGCAAGGCTAAAGAATCATGGGGAGAAAGCCATGAGTTCCGTGCTTTGCTTTCTCCTCCTCTGGAATTCCGCTGCTCTCCTTGGTATTGAAACTGTACTCCTTGGTAGGTGATCTTGGTCCTGGCTGGGTTTCTTGTTGATCTTCTGGGGGAGGGGCCTGTTGTAGTGATTCTCAAGTGTCTTTGCCCCGGGCGGAGTTGGACCGCCCTTACCTGGGGCCGGGCTGAGTAATGCTCTCGGGTTTGCTTTCGGGAGCTTTTGTTCCCTGAGCGCTTTCCGTAGAGTCCGGAGGGCGGGAATGAAGATGGCGGCCTCCCGGTCTCCGGCCCGGAGGAGCCGAGAGCCCGGGGCCCCACTCCTCAGTGCGCCCTCAGAGAACAGCGCCGATTTACTCCCGTCACCCTGCCTCCGGCCGCGCTCCGAGCTGACCGAGCCTGCGACCGGTTCAAGGTAACCCCGAGCTGAGAGTCACGCCTCGGCTCCGTCTCTATAGCCGGCTTCCCCGTTCTAATACCTGTAAGCTCTGCGACACTCAGACACCCCTGATCCTTCTGTGACCCTGCGGGACCTGAGGCCACGCTGACCCTGCGTGGGCTTCACCCCGGTTAAGCCTCTGGAGCGATGTCCCTCAGCGGAACAGACTTTTAAAAGTCCCGATTTTGTGCTCCGTTGCTCCGCCGCTTGCCGGGAGCCGGCCCCTCCCCCCGCGGTCTATCTTCCCGTCGCTTTGGATTCACTTCTCTGCCAGTCCTACCTTTCAGAAAGTGGTTGATTTTCTGTTTCTAGAGTTGCTGTTCTTCTTCTCTTCGATCTCCCGTTGGATTTGTAGGTGTTTGCAATCTTTAGATAAGCTATCTAGCTGATCTCCCGCTACCTGAAGTAGTCTCAGCTGCTACTTCTCCGCCATCTTGACTCCTCCCCCCATGATATGTTACTCTTTTAAGTAGGTATGAATGCATTGCGTTTAACCTTACTATTCTATTTTGTGTTCACATTCAGGTATACGATGAGCTTGAAGATTCCCTTTTTTGCATTCTAGTTGACGATTTGGTCTCAGTCTTTATTATACATCTAACATTTGCATGTGTTGAACTACTATGTGCAGACACTATGTAAGTCCCTGGGAAAACAATGGTGAGCAAAAACAGCCTCCATTTCTAGCCCACAAAATATATATATATCTAGATATAGATAGATATACATTATATATGCAATTTTTTATATATAATTACTAACATGATAGTCACATTAAGGAATAGTACAGGAAGCTCCTGTACTCCTCATGTACTCTGTCCCTCCTGAACCTCACTGTCTGCTCTCCATCTCACTGGCCTCTTAAATCCCTTCCATTACCAAGCTCACCCAACTTGGGGAAACTGCAAATTCCATTCTTTCTGCCCAAAATGTGTCCCCTCTCCTTATTTCTCTTAATTAATTAATTACCCATCCCTCCTCTAGCAGCTCAAATATTCATATTTCAGAGAAGTCTTTTCTACCTACCGTCCTAAGCTAAGCTGGTCCTCAGTGGTTCTGTTTTCCTTTTAATTAATTAGCATTCTATAGACATTAATAATACTAAAACTTTTTCTATTATTGAGATGTAGGCATTTATTTTCACATCTTAAATTTTCCTTTCAATTTTTAGGATGGTTTGATTTATAGAAGCTTTAAATATTTTTTATCAAATCAGTCTTTTTTGCAATTAACTGTTCTGATTTTTAATGTAACACATTCCCACTTGTGAGCATGAACATATAGTATACACTCTCACACATGCTTTGTATTTCATTTTAATGATTTGTGATGATTTGTGATTTTCCCCCTTCTTATTTATGTAGTCCATAGGCTTTTTCTTCTTTCTTGGAAGAATCCACTTTGCAGGTGGTATCAGAAAGAGGGAAGCATAGGGGCTTCATTAACTAGAAGTGCTACATGGTAGTCAAAAGAGGTAACATACCTGTTGTGTTTATGATGATCAGAATTCCATCTTTGATGGCTGCCACAGTTTAAGTAGAATATTGATAAATGATAGCCATACAAGACAAAGTTTTTGTAATGGTAAGAATGGAAGCCCACATTTGTCAAATGTCCTCTGTATGTCACAAGAACCACACTAGAAACATTACATGCATCATCTCATTCAATTTACTCCCCAGGCTTGCAATGCAGGGAATATTTACTACTCCCATTGTAGAACTGAGATATCTGCAGCTACAAGAGATTATCAATTTTGTCAGGGTCACACAGAAAGTAAGTTGGTAGATCAAATTTTTTATTTCAGAAAGTCTTACTCAAGATCCCTTTTTCTAAATGACAGTTCTATAATACTGTATTTGGGGACAGTTATTTACCAAAAAGTGATTGCCATAAAAGGAATACATTAATGAAAATTGTTATTTATTGACATTGTACTGTGCATAAAAGCATTTTGAATCATTATTTTAAAAAGGCAATAGCAGTAAACACATTTTTAGGGGAGAAAAGACGTTTTGAGAGTTAACTATGACATCAGTAGGACACACCAGGTTGCAGAGTGAAGGTTGTTTGAGTTGAAAACCTATCTTAATCATTATGATAGGGTTATCAGAATAAAGAAAGTTATCAAAGATCTTAAATGTCTTCAATTATTTTGGAAGATCATCTCAAGGAAGAAACCGGTTTATATCCACAGATTTGAATAGAAGAATTAGAACCAGTGAGTAGCAGATAAAAAGAGAAAGATTTCTGCCAAGTCAAAGATAGTCTGAATGATTATGCACATTTAGAATGGAAATGGGCTACCACTTCAATGAGTGGATCACTGGCATTGGAAGGACTAATGAAGGGTAAAGGATGTCCATGCAAAATGGGATCAAAGGTAAATACTAGGAAGTGCCAGCTGGCTGTTCATTGAAGGTCGCTTTTGTCTCCTTCTCCAGCAAACACACCAGCTACATGGGAGCAGGAAACAAGACAGAAGTATCAGTATTCCAAAAAAAAAAAAAAAAAGAAGTATCAGTATTCCTCCTTCTGGGCCTCTCAGAAGATCCAGAACTACAGCCTCTCCTCTTTGGCTTGTTCCTGTCCATGTACCTGGTCACTGTGCTGGGAAACCTGCTCATTATCCTGGCTATCCTCTTTGACCCCTATCTCCACACCCCTATGTACTTTCTCCTCTCCAACCTGTCCCTTGTTGACATCTGTTTCACCTCCACCACCATCCCCAAGATGCTGCTGAACATCCAGGCACACAGCAAAGATATTTCCTATATAGGATGCATCACTCAGGTGTATTTTTTTATGGTTTTTGTTGGAATGGATGATTTCCTCTTGACAGTGATGGCTTATGACAGGTATGTGGCCATCTGCCACCCCTTGCACTACACTGTCATCATGAACCCACAACTCTGTGTCCTCCTGGTTCTGATTTGTTGGCTCACCATTTTCTGGGTTTCCCTGATTCATATTCTACTGGTAGGGCGGTTGACTTTCTGTCCAGGCATGGAACTTCCACATTTCTTCTGTGAACTGGCTCAGATTCTCAAGGTGGCCTGCTCTGACACCCTCATCAATAACATCTGCTTGTATGTTGCCACTGCCCTGTTGTGCATGTTTCCTCTCACCGGGATCCTCTTCTCTTACTCTAAGATTGTCTCCTCCTTAATGAGGATGACCTCCACTGAGGGCAAGTATAAAGCATTTTCTACTTGTGTGTCTCATTTCTCTGTATTCTCTTTGTTCTATGGCACAAGCCTGGGGGTCTACCTCACATCTGCTGTGACACATTCTTCCCAGAGAAGCTCGGTTGCTTCAGTGATATACACTGTGGTCACCCCCATGCTGAACCCCTTCATCTACAGCCTGAGGAACAAGGATGTGAAAGGAGCCCTGTGAAGGCTCAGCAGAGCAGCTTCATGTCCATGATGGGCCACTTGCCTCAGAACCAAGTGGACATTGGGGACTGCAAAGGGAAATGTGAACTTGAATCTGTCTTCTTCTCTTCTCATAGACATGTTTGATTTATCCATTCCCCAAAGCTCCCATGAATTCTCTTTTATTTGTTTTTGTATTAGTCTCTCCTCAGCAAATCCCTCCAAAGAATTTTCCCACTTGTCTTCTCTATATGATGTCCATAAAATTCCATGTTTGTCTAGCTTTCTTGTAACCATTCTTAAGATTTCTAACTTTAGGCTTAAGCTACCTATCCTATTGTGCTGCTGTGGTTTCCCCCAAAATTATCCTCTAAAACACTGAGGTTCTTCACCTTCATTTATTTGCATGCTTGTTTTCCCCACAAGAAATGGAATGAAATCATGCATGATCATACCAAAGTGTTTACCATATCAGAACTGTGCCTCTTTGTTCCTTCACATGTTTGACTTTACGTCACCTTGAAAAAATGTCCTGAAGACATTTTCCCTCATTCACTTGACTTCTCAAAAGAAGAGAGTGAAACTGAGTTGGACTATAACCTGGCTAGCTGACACGGAGTTTCTATCCTACTTTTTATATGAACAGTGATGTGATTTTCAACTTCAAAATAAGAATCTAGATTTCTGTGATTATATTCATAGCAATATGCTGCCTAGGAAACCTGAGATGTAGCTTCATTCCTTGTGATCCTTCCACCTTTCCTTCCTTCCTCTCTTTCCTTCTTTTACTTGATTTTTATTTCTCATATATGCAATTTTAAGATACACCCTCTAAGATCCTAAAACATATGATAATCAATACAATAGAATAAGAGTTATTCTCTCACATGGTTTAATTTTTTGTTTCTGGGACTCTCTGGAGGTGTCATCAAGAATGGTATTTACACACATGTAGAATGTGTTCAGAACTTAGCTCATCTGAGAAGAATGTTGATAGAATTGAGTGTTCAGTGAAGGATGGAGTGGTAGATGCTGTCCACATTTCTCCAAATTACCTGGGATCCTCCCTACATGTCCACCGCATGACTGCCAAATGCCAGCCTCAGCCAGCACCAACTTTGCCCAATAGTAGTGGCAAAAATGCCAGGGAATTATGCCCCAACAAAGACAGCCCTTGATGGAGAGTTATGGGGTTTATCATGTCTTTCACTCATTGGCTAGGATATTTCTGAGGTTTGTATTTTGTAGCATTTTCCAGAATTTCCCCACAGGATGAAAACTCTCTCATTCCCTGTGGAAGCTGACTTAATATAAAATTAACTGATGTATTTTCTTCTAGGTGTCACTTCTCCTCTCTCTCTTACCCATGTTTCATATTCCTTGCTCCTTCCAATAAAGTGCTTGCACATAAATTCTTGGCTCAGCATCAGCTTCTCTGGGAACCCAGAACAAGAAACTAAGGCAAGTGGTAAAGCCTATAATGTATCAAAACAACATCAGGAAAGGAGAAACTTTTGGAGAAAAAACAAAGGGAGATAAGTATTGAGAGTATAGTTAGGACTGTAAAATTACTCAAAAATTAAAGTTTGTTAGAGAGAAAAGACTAATTTGATGTGGCTTCAATTCACTTTGATTCCATTAAGTCTAATCCATTGTGAATTTATTTTCTGCTGTGTACACATTGAGGAGGGAACCAAATGATTGCAATACAGAGTGGTGAGCATAATATTGGTGTGTCAGATCCTGTTGAAAACAAAGGTAGAAGTTTTCTATCCACCCTGAGGAATTTAAAAAATATTCTTTAAATTTTTATTTAAAAAATATTTTTATTGGGGCATTTAGGTGGCTCAGTTAAGTATCTGCCTTCAGCTCAGGTCACGATCCTAGAGTCTGAGATTGAAGTCTGTATCAGGCTCTCTGCTTCCTCTTGGAAGGACCCTGATGATTACATTGAGTTGACCCAGATAATTCATGGTATATTTCCCATCTCGAGATCCTTAACAGTACTCACAAAGTGCCTTTTGTCATCTAAAGTAACACATTCCCAAATTCTGAAGATTAGTACCTGGACATTTTTGGGACGCTATTAATCAGCTTACCACAGGAGATGTGTGATTTAGAATTTGCCAACAATTAGTTGATAAGGCCTTGAGCTGAGAATATGGAATCTGTCACAGCACTCCTTGCTGATTTTCAGTGGGCATGATCATCTCATGGTCCTGTCTCACATAAAGATAAGGTTGCTCTAGACAGGTGAACTTAGACAACAAGTGATAGAAGGGAATTCCCTGATTCATCTGAACATAACCAAGCAGAGGCTCAGCTGGACACTTGCACAACTAGACACTGGGACTCAAACACCATGAGGATTTCCTTTCAGGCTATCAGTTTTGGTTTCTCAAACTGGCCACTTTCAAACAGAGACATGGAGGCCAGCAGCTCTCACAACTCACACCTCACAGCTGTACTATTTAAGAACTGGAATTACTTTGGCTACTCATGTGCCAAAAAGAAGAAAGGAAAGGAAGAAGGAAGGAAGAAGGAAAGAAAGGAGGAAAGAGAGAAAAAGAGAGAAAGAAAGAAAGAAAGAAAGAGAAGAAGAAGAGGAAGAAGAGGAAGAAGGAGGAGGAGGAGGAGGAGGAGGAGGAGGAGGAAGGAAGGAAGAAGGAAAGAAAAAGGGAAAAAGAGGGGAAAAATCTGAGGAAATTATTCTGATCTGCACAAATATGTTCTCTTTCCAGCTTGGGCCAATCAACTGTGGTCACCAAACAATGTTATTAGCAGCCCCTTTAGAACAACATTCATTGTTTACTGAGTTTTTACTGTGTCAGTCATATTTTAGCTTCAACCACTGCAAGGATAAATAGGTACAGGTGTATGGGAAGAGTGCGTTGTCCTATGTCAGTCATATTTTATGTCAGTCATATTTTAGCTATATGTCAGTCATATTTTAGCTTCACTGCAAGGATAAATAGGTAGAGGTGTAAGGGAAGAATGGATTGTCCTATTAAAAAGCCTGTTCATAATAAATCTCATTGAGTACACATTACATTTGTGAAGAAGGTGAATGCACATCTAGGGGTGGAGTGCTCTGGACAGATAGTAATATTAATGTCAAAGATGCTGAGGTGGGACTTTCTTTTTTTTTAAGATTTTATTTATTTATTTCACAGAGAGAGAGAGATCACAAGCAGGCAGAGAGGCAGGCAGAGGGAGAGAGGGAAACAGGCTCCCCGCTGAGCAGAGAGCCCGATGCAGGACTTGATCCCAGGACCCTGGGATCATGACCTGAGCCGAAGGCAGAGGCTTAACCCACTGAGCCACCCAGGCGCCCTGAGGTGGGACTTTCACTGGGGAGGATGTGGCTGGAGTAGAGAATGGGATCCTAATGCAAGAGGAAGACAGGTTTCCACAGGGATCATGTGAGTCTTTCCCTAACTTTGAAAAACTTTTGCTTTCATTTGTTCTGAGTGATGTGAGGAGATACTGCAGGGTTTTGGGCAGACGCATGACACCATAAGACTTAGGACTTCAAAGATCATCCTAGCTGCTGGGTTGAGAATGGGTTTCAAGGTGTGAGAATGCCTGCTCGGGGCCGACAGCAGCAAGCAGATGAGATACATATAGCTACGGCCAGGGTGGTGCTAGTAGGGTAAGGGTTGAGAAGTGGTCCTTAGGGCTATGCTCAGGAGGTAGAACCAAGAGGATATGTTGTCTGTCAGGACATGAGTATGAGATAAAGAGAGGAGCCAAGATTGGCTCCAGGGTTTGGAGCCTGAACCATGAAAGAATGGAATTGTATCCATTGAGATAGGGAGGGCTATGGTGGAACAAATATGAAAGGAAATTGGACATCAGAAGTTCAGGTTTTGAAAATTGAGAATGTTGAAGTTAAGATATTGCAAATGGATAAATTTTATAGGATTCCACTTATATGAAGTACTAATAGTAGTCAAACTCCAAAAGACAGAAACTAGAATGGTGGTTGTCAAGGACTGGACGAAGGGAGGAAATAGAAGGTTAGTGTTTAATGGATACAAAGCTTCAACTTGGGAAGATGAAGAAATTCTGGAGATGGATGATGGTAATGGTGGCCCAACAATGTGAATGCACTCAGTGCAACTGTGTAGGAATGTGCACTTCAAAACGTCTAAAATGGTACATCTTATGTCATACGAATGTAATCTAACCACAATAAAAAACATCAAGCAGCACAAAAGGAAAAAGAAAAAAAAGATATCTATTTTATAATGATATTTTCAATGTCATTATTAAAATAATAGGGAATGATTGGGAGTTTTGATAAAATTTTTAATATTATTCCTCTACTGTTTAGACCAGGGTTTCTCAGCCTCAACCAAAAAATGAAATTTGAGGTCTGTATTGTTTGTCATAGGAGGCTGTTCTCTAATTTTATGATGTTTAACAGCATCCCTGAGCTTTACCCACTAGATGCTAGCACCGTGTTGTGATAACCAGAATTTGTTTCAGAGAGGTCAAAATCAGGCCAGCTGAGAACACTGGAGTAAAACAATTCCATGAGTGCAGAAGTTGATGGTGTTAGCTTTCAAAGAAATGGGATAACAGAGAAGCAACATTTGGGGGAAGATAAAACATCTTAGAAAGAGGTTGAAGGGCCTGAAGAACACCCCATTAGCACCATTATTTTGGAAGACAAATGATTGGTCTGGTGATGATCAGTCTGTGCAGATAGTAGTATAAGTCAACTACTTGTAAGGAGAGTGAGAGGTTCCTGTTGTGAGAGTCAAGTTAGGTAAGCTAATGCCTGGCTGAATCCTACCCAAAACCTTCAGTTCTCATTACATGGGCCCTACCAGATGTATGTTCTCACTGAACACAGTGCTATTCACCCCATTAGCCACCACTGTAATTAAATAATTACTTGTATAATTATTTTATTAATGACTGCCTCTTAAAAACCTTCACCTGAGCTTTGAATCCCATCCCTTTCTAACTTTGGGGGGAACTTATGCTTCATTTGTCTTTTTTAATCCTGTATATTCCAATGTCTGAATGTAATGTTATAATTTCCAATAACATGGGAATGTTCCACATGCCCATTTCCTTCAGTAGAAATATAACTCACTCATAGACCTGTACTCTCCTTTGGGCATTGCTCCAAACTTCAGATTTGGTCTATACATGCTATTTCTGTTTCCCTCATTGTTCACTGTCTGTTTAACCAACTAATCTGGAAATCTTTCCACCTCCATCACAATTTCTCTCCCTAAGGTCTGCAGAGAACTCAGGTGCCCAGTAAATTCTAATGGGGTATTTCCACTCTTCAAACGCTTGTTTTTTCAGGAGCAATGTCACTAATGATACATTCTGTTTCTTGAAATAGAGACCTTCTTTCTCATGCATTTCATTTTTGTTACAATGGGATTCTGCAGGTCAACTCTGCTGGGGTTTTTTGTGGGGTTTTTTGTTTGTTTGTTTTTAAGATTTTATTTATTTGAGATAGAGAGAGAGAGTGAGAGCATGAGCTGAGAGACAGAGAAAGAGCGAGCAGCAGGCTCCCCACTGAGCAGGGAGCCCAATGTGGAACTCCTGGCGTCATGACCCCAGCTGAAGGCAGCCTCTCAATGGACTGAGCCACTCAGGCACCCCATTTACTGGGTTCTTTGTAACATTAACACATCCATCAGGGAGAAACTCCTAACTTTGAAATTAAATCCCGTGAAGAAGGGGAGGCAAGAATTAGGGTAGTATCTTTTTTTTTTTTATCCCAAGAAAATAATGTTGGGTCTGTAATCAAAGGAATGAGACTGATACAAAGCAAAAGTCAAGCAAAGCTTTATTTCGCGCCAAGCATCGAGAATCAAACTGACCGTTCGGGGCTGCTTCTTACAGAGAGGGCCTCTCCCTGCCTTACAGACTAACTTTTATAGAGCAAAGGCCATGTGGTTGAGCCTGACCACACACAGGTGGCCAATGAGATTGTAACACACAGAGAAAACTGCACAGCCATGCTAGGTCACACACAGGTGGCCAATTGAACTACAATTCACCCCATAGTAGCTATTTGAACTAGCCTATCACCTTGGTCAGAATTGGCGCCCAAAAGGCGGGGCCCACACTCCTTGGTATTTAGGGAGACAGTATGTGCGTCCCACTGATTGGATGTCTCTACCTGGCCTGAGCCGCCCTTGTATTTGGGTTCTGTTACCTGGGACTGGTTTCCTGTACTGCTTTTAAGTCAGTCCCCCTGGCGGGGTGGGGCAGGGTCAGTTTAAGTTTTACTGCATCAACAACAAAATGGCGGTTCAACCAAGATGAAGCTGCTCTGGCTAAATACGCCCTTACAATAAGATGGTGCTTATTTATTTAGTTAGTTTTATTATTTATTATTTTTTATAGGACCGTATATCCTTTGTAGGAAGGTAAAGCTTTTCTAACCTCCAGGAGCATGCTCTCGTTGACTGCCCATGTTTGGATGTACCAAGTAAAGAAGGAATAAATGAAGGAAAGAAATTTGCCTCTCTGCATAGCTATTTTCGGGGAAACAAAAGAGGAAGAAAATTTCATTTCTATTATTCTTTTGATCTTAATTGTCTAAAAAGTACTATGACAGTAGAACAATTTATTGAATGAGGTGCTCTGAGAATTCAGCCTCCAAGTTCCTGGAAACTTTGAATAAGCTCTGGGTGTCTCCAAGGCAGATCATGTTGGGCCTCCCAGAGACATGGGTGGTGAATTCCCTGCCTAGATCATCTCCTTGAAATTTCTGGGGGAAAGTCACTGTAGGAGAAAGAGCCAGGGCAACCAGGGGTTTCCGTGATGCCATCTGAAAGAGTCCCGGTAGCCTAGTAAAGGCTCAGGGTGGGGTCAGGTTGTGACATGTAAGCAGTGGAGAAAAACTTTTACTAGGCCAGAGCATTAGGGACACAAACCAGAGCGGTGTCTTTCAAAGTCTCTCCAGATCAGCAGCATCTGCATCTCCTGAGAACTTGTTAGACATGTAAATTCTTTTTTTTTTTTTATCATTTTTTAAAATTTATTTTCAGCATAACAGTATTCATTGTTTTTGTACCACACCCAGTGCTCCATGCAATCCGTGCCCTCTCTAATACCCACCACCTGGTTCCCCCAACCTCCCACCCCCTGCCCCTTCAAAACCCTCAGATTGTTTTTCAGAGGCCATAGTCTCTCATGGTTCACCTCCCCTTCCAATTTCCCCCAACTCCCTTCTCCTAACTCCCCATGTCCTCCATACTATTTGTTATGCCCCACAAATAAGTGAAACCATATGATACTTGACTCTCTCTGCTTGACTTATTTCACTCAGCATAATCTCTTCCAGTCCCGTCCATGTTGCTACAAAAGTTGGGTATTCATCCTTTCTGATGGAGGCATAATACTGCATAGTGTATATGGACCACATCTTCCTTATCCATTCATCCGTTGAAGGGCATCTTGGTTCTTTCCACAGTTTGGCATGTAAATTCTTGACCTTCATCCCAGATCTACTAAATCAGAAACTCCAGGGTCAGGTCCAGCCATTTGCATTTAATAAGCCACCCAGGTGAATCTTATGCTAAAATGAAATCAGTGGCCTGAAGGGATTTGTTGAAATGCTTGATGACCAGGCTTGGGGCTGCACCTTCAAAGGTCTGAGGGCTCTCCATCGCCAAAATCTTATCTACAAACAATGATAAATCTGTCTTTTGCTTTACAATGCTTCTGTCCCCTCTCTTTGCCTTTGTTTGAATTATCAGAATGCTAGTAAAAGCTCATGGTTCATTGCAGCAGCCCTTGCATACTCATTAGTCATTTCTTGATGTACCATGTTCAGTTGACCATTTCTCTCATTTAAAAATCATTATGATTTAGGGGCGCCTGGGTGGCTCAGTGGATTAAGCCGCTGCCTTCAGCTCAGGTCATGATCCCAGGGTCCTGGGACAGAGCCCCGCATCGGGCTCTCTGCTCAGCGGGGAGCCTGCTTCCTCCTCTCTCTCTGCCTGACTCTGCCTACTTGTGATCTCTCTGTCAAATAAATAAATCTTTAAAAAATAAATAAATAAAAATCATTATGATTTATCATTTTGTTTTATTTTTTAAAGATTTTATTTATTTATTTGTCAGGGGTGGGGGGACACAAGCAGGGGAAGCTTCAGGCAGAGGGAGGAAGCAGGCTTCTGGCTGAGCAAGGAGCCCAATGCGGGACTCAATCCCAGGACCCTGGCATCATGACCTGAGCTGAAAGCAGGTCAAGCCACCCAGGTGTCCCACGATTTATCATTTTAAAGATAAATCCTTATTTTTCTAGTTCCAGAGCCTGCATCCCCTGCCTCTTTCCCACATACACACCACCACCTACAGCAATGGCTATTAAAGATTATCAAATACATTTTCTGCCTATTGAACTGCTGTCTTTTTTGTCAATCTAAAATTGCCAGGAGGTAATAATTAAGCCAAAGTATGTATTTGGGATCAAAGAATCGCAATTTGGGTAAACAGATTTTAGTAGCAACCCAAATAGTGTTCCATCACCAAGAAAAAGTCAGGGTTTTTTACAGCAAAAAGAGAATGCTCACTGCTTACAAGGAATTTTGATAGGTGTTGGTGGCAGAAAGCTAATCTTGGCTAAGGCTGTCACTAAGCAAAAGTGTATTACGATAACATGTCACACGTGTTCAGGCAGGTGTAAAAATCTTTGGAATTTTTACAATTCTACCTTCAAGGAGGAGTATAGGCCCTTCTCCTTTAACGGCTTCCCAGGTCCATTTGAAAATACCTTGACATAAATGACTCCACTGTATTTCAACTTTTACTTTTTGTTTTGATATTCTTTTTTTAAGATTTTATTTATTTATTTATTTGAGAGACAGAGATCACAAATAGGCAGAGAGGCAGGCAGAGGGGGGGGAAGCAAGCTCCCTGCCAAGCAGAGAGCCAAATGCGGGGCTTGATCCCAGGACACTGGGATCATGAACTGAGCTGAAGGCAGAGACTTTAACCCACTGAGCCACCCAGATGCCCCTTGTTTGTGATATTCTTTAAAAACAAAAACAAAAACAAAATGAAATCACTTATGCCAAGCCTCATGTAACCAAACAGAGATTTAATTAATCAGCTGTCCCAGAAATGGAATTTTAAAATAGATAATCAAAATCACCTCATCTGCACTAGTTAAGTGACCTGCCTGGTGGGGCCCCTGCCACCCCTTACAGGGAAAATAACCTTGCAATACCCAAGCCGCTTTTTTGCTTAGTATAGCTGCCTTGTTCCTACTCCCTTCTGCCTATAAAAGTCTTTCATTTTGGAGTCAAGATGGCGGAGAAGTAGCAGGCTGAGACTACTTCAGGTAGCGGGAGATCAGCTAGATAGCTTATCTAAAGATTGCAAACACCTACAAATCCAACGGGAGATCGAAGAGAAGAAGAACAGCAACTCTAGAAACAGAAAATCAACCACTTTCTGAAAGGTAGGACGGGCGGAGAAGTGAATCCAAAGCGACGGGAAGATAGACCGCGGGGGGAGGGGCCGGCTCCCGGCAAGCAGCGGAGCAACGGAGCACAAAATCGGGACTTTTAAAAGTCTGTTCCGCTGAGGGACATCGCTCCAGAGGCTTAACCGGGGAGAAGCCCATGCGGGGTCAGCGTGGCCTCAGGTCCCGCAGGGTCACAGAAGGATCAGGGGTGTCTGAGTGTCGCAGAGCTTACAGGTATTAGAACAGGGAAGCCGGCTACAGAGACAGAGCCGAGGCGTGACTCTCAGCTCGGGGTTACCTTGAACTGGTCGCAGGCTCGGTCAGCTCGGAGCGCGGCCGGAGGCCAGGGTGACGGGAGTAATTGGGCGCTGTTCTCTGAGGGCGCACTGAGGAGTGGGACCCCGGCTCTCGGCTCCTCGGGCCGGAGACCGGGAGGCCGCCATCTTCATTCCCGCCCTCCGGAACTCTACGGAAAGCGCTCAGGGAACAAAAGCTCCCGAAAGCAAACCCGAGCGGATTACTCAGCCCGGCCCCGGGTAAGGGCGGTGCAACTCCGCCCGGGGCAAAGACACTTGAGAATCACTACAACAGGCCCCTCCCCCAGAAGATCAACAAGAAACCCAGACAGGACCAAGTTCACCTACCAAGGACTGCAGTTTCAATACCAAGGAGAGCAGCGGAATTCCAGAGGAGGAGAAAGCAAAGCACGGAACTCATGGCTTTCTCCCTATGATTCTTTAGCCTTGCAGTTAATTTAATTTTTTTTTCTTTTTCAATTTTTTTTTCTCTTCTTCTGCTAAATTTTTTTAACTTTTACCCTTTTCTTTTTTAACGTTTTTTAACTAGTTTATCTAATATATATATTCTTTTTTTCCTTTTTATATTTTTTCTTTATTGGTTTTCTTTTTTTAATTGTTTCTTTTTTTTTTTTTTCTTTCTGAACCTCTTTTTATCCCCTTTCTCCCCCCTCACGATTTGGGATCTCTTCTGATTTGGCTAAAGCATATTTTCCTGGGGTTGTTGCCACCCTTTTAGTATTTTACTTGCTCCTTCATATACTCTTATCTGGACAAAATGACAAGGCAGAAAATTTCACCACAAAAAAAAGAACAAGAGGCAGTACCAAAGGCTAGGGACCTAATCAATACAGACATTGGTAATATGTCAGATCAAGAGTTCAGAATGACGATTCTCAAGGTTCTAGCCAGGTTCGAAAAAGGCATGGAAGATATTAGAGAAACCCTCTCCAGAGAGATAAAAGCCCTTTCTGGAGCTGGAGAAAGAACAAGAAAGAAACCCTAAACCCAGGAGGAGAAGAGAAATCATAAAGATCAGAGCAGAAATCAATGAAATAGAAACCAAAAAAACAATAGAACAAATCAACGAAACTAGGAGCTGGTTCTTTGAAAGAATTAATAAGATTGATAAACCCCTGGCCAGACTTATCAAAAAGAAAAGAGAAAGGACCCAAATAAATCATGAATGAAAGAGGAGAGATCACAACTAACACCAAAGAAATACAGACAATTATAAGAACATACTATGAGCAACTCTACGCCAACAAATTTGACAATCTGGAAGAAATGGATGCATTCCTAGAGACATATAAACTACCACAACTGAGCCAGGAAGAAATAGAAAGCCTGAACAGACCCATAACCAGTAAGGAGATTGAAACAGTCATCAAAAATCTCTAAACAAACAAAAGCCCAGGGCCAGATGGCTTCCCGGGGGAATTCTACCAAACATTTAAAGAAGAACTAATTCCTATTCTCCTGAAACTGTTCCAAAAAATAGAAATGGAAGGAAAACTTCCAAACTCATTTTTATGAGGCCAGCATCACCTTGATCCCAAAACCAGACAAGGATCCCATCAAAAAAGAGAACTACAGACCAATATCCTTGATGAACACAGATGCAAAAATTCTCGCCAAAATACTAGCCAATAGGATTTAACAGTACATTAAAAGGATTATTCACCACGACCAAGTGGGATTTATTCCAGGGCTGCAAGGTTGGTTCAACATCCACAAATCAATCAATGTGATAACACATTAATAAAAGAAAGAACAAGAACCATATGATACTCTCCATAGATGCTGAAAAAGCATTGACAAAGTACAGCATCCCTTCCTGATCAAAACTCTTGAAAGTGTAGGGATAGAGGGCACATACCTCAATATTATCAAAGCCATCTATGAAAAACCCACCGCAAATATCATTCTCAATGGAGAAAAACTGAAAGCTTTTCTGCTAAGGTCAGGAACACGGCAGGGATGTCCGTTATCA